CAGGCTCAGTAGCTGTGGCGTACGGGCTTAGTGGCTCCGCGGCATGTGGGATCTTCCCAGACCAGGGCTCGAACCCGTATCCCCTGCATCGGCAGGCAGATTCTCAACCACTGCGCCACCAGGGAAGCCCGCGTAAGGTATTTCTTATGCTCTGACCTCTTCGGCATTGGTCCCTTGCCGGGTTGTGGTCCCCCACCCACCTGTCCGCGCCTAGCTGGCCCCAGGCCAGGGATCCTGTTGTGGGCCTTTTGGTGCTCCTGGCATGGATGTGACTTAAAATCCGCCCTATGGTATTAAGATTCCAAAGTCTGTCTTTGAACTTTTAATGGCCCTGGACAAATGCTTTGAGGGTGAAGACTTGTTTCTTTCAATTCGACCACATAGAATTTAAAAGCATTTTTCCCACACCGGGGCAGCCCCTTTCAAAGCTCATAGATTCCCCTTCCCCGGACTCCAGTAACCGAGACAAACCCACCTGTCAGGGGAGGGTGTCCTTTCACCACCTGTTTGGATTTGATTTGAGTCACCTGCCTTTGACTGGGAAGCTGAGTGTCAGAGGCTGCGTCTCCAGAGCAGAGGCGGCTGATTGATTGATTGATTGAAAAACTGTGAACCATGCCATTCAGTTTACTGAAGTTGACTGATTCTCTGCCACACAGAGTGAAAAAGTTTGATGTGTGTATGAAATACGTGTCGTGCGGGTTAAGCTGTGGCTCTTACCTTGGATACAGGATGCGTTCCACTTACTCACCCTCCTTAGGCAGGTCGGTGTATTAGCTTCTGGGCGGCTTAAAACAGCAGAAGTGTATCTCTCACAGTTCTGGGGCCGGAAGTCTGACGGTAAGGGCGGGGCCCTGGTCCCTCTGGAGGCTCTAGGGAAGCCTCCTTCCTTCCCTTTCTCTCTTCTTCTGGCGGCTCCTGAAATCCTGGGCTTTCCTTCATTCGCGGAGGCGTGGCTCCAACCTCTGGCTCCATCGTCCCATGGCCCTCTCCCCGTGTCTGTGTCCAGGCTTCCCTCTTTTTCTTAGGGTACCAGTCATTGCATCAGGGCCCCCCAGTCCAGTCTACCTCATCTTCATCTGATCACATCTGCAAACACCCTACTTCTAAATAAGGCCACATTCACAGGTGCCAGTGGTTAGGGCTTCAGTATATCTTTTCGGGATGTACGGATTTACCACACTGATATACCACATCCTCATTTGTATTTTTATTTGGTAGTCAATCTAGCTTACGTTCAGAACACAGTAATTTTGGAAGTCCCATTTAAAAGCAGACCATGGCTTGTTTTATTCGTTTATCTGGTTTTAACCATTCCTGTGATAACTCGTGACCCACTTCAGGTCTTCCTAGCTGTCATTCATCTGCGTTTGGCCTCGTATCAACCTTTGTGTGGCTGTGTGCTTAAGAATGCTGTCTCCTGCTTTACCATCCTCCCCTAGGACACCCGACTGGGTTCCAGGGCTGGTTTTGCCACTGTGAAGGGAACAGGTTGGGGGGTGAAGTCCAGGGGAACCAGGCTCCAGCATCCTCTCTAATGGGGTCGCACAGGACACGCTAAATTCCCCCAGCCGCGAGCTGTGACAGCACGTGTGCAGCGTCGTCCATCAGGGATGCGTTAGAGCTTCAGCGCGCGGGGTCTTTATTCGGGGGGCCGTTCACACGAGCACCCTCTGCCTGACGCGCACCCAAACCCCAGACTCGGAGGAGGACAGCAGGAGTCCGGCACCAACACCCCCGTCTGTACACACAGCTTAGCCACAGGGAGCCGCTCATCAGTCCTGGGAGGGGGGGACCCTCCCCAAATCCACCTTCCCAGACGCCAGCCAAGGGCTGAGCTTGGAAGGCGGCCCTTCTGGGGACCCCAGTCTCGAGCCTGCTGTGTTAACACTGACGTTGCCCGAGTCCCTCCCCTGCTGCTTTCAGCCTCCCTGTGACCACAGCACTTCAGAGTTTAGATATTTGAAACTTCCCAAACCCCTCCCCAGAATCCCAGCACCTTTCCCGTTATCCCCCATGCTCTGCTTTTGGCCCCCAGAGTCCTCGTAACATAGATGCCCTTGTGTCACCCCAGCATCCGAGTGCTCACTCCCTACACCTCCGTGTTTGTTTTGAATTTTTATTGTTCCTTTATCCCACATGGCAAATACACGGCAGCGTATCATCACTGAGATCCCCCAGTACAGGATTAATTCTATCATCCGCATTAGTGTTTCAAATTTGGGCTTTTAAAAATAGAATACATAACTCCAGATCTTTTAGGAATCAGTTGATTTCTATGTACGTGTTCAAAATGATCCCGAACCCACGTCACTCTCTTCAGTTTTGAGGTTGTGGGAGTGTCTGTTCATTATTCTTTGGGTACCGACAGTGGTGTAGTAGGACACACCCGTGTGCGCCGTACAAGCCTGTTCTTGAAGCACCGTCTCTCCAGGTCTCTGCTTGTCTGCTTCTGAGTATTACTGTTTTGACCCCTCAATCGCACTCTTTGCTTGAATATTTCCAGATCTAATAACATAGCAAAAGGCAGCTGTTGGAGGGAAGCTGGGCTGGGCCTTCCTGACTAACGTGCTCTATTTCAGCGACACGGCCACTTCCCTCTCTGAGGTTCTCAGCCACTCTCCACTTGGGAGCGGACACCACGGCTGTGTCTTCTCTCACACTGTTTATGTGCCTGTGGTTTTGTGAAGGTCAAGCACACTGTAGGTCACCCGCGGTGCCGGGAGGTGGGTGGGATGCCGGGCTCTGCATGTGGAGCGAGCTGTGTTTAGACCTTGTCCGACAGGCTGAACACTCACCTTTCCGTGCGGCTTCCAAAGAGTTCCCACGTCTTAATTTCAGAGTGTGATAGAAGGATTGGGGGTGGGGGCGGGTCTCATTTCATTGAAAAAGATTTGCCCTGAAAAGAGATTCTGCCAACCCCCAGTACTCTTCGTTGGTCGAGAGAGGTCCACAGCCAGCGGTCAAGAACAGCTGCTGGACGGAGCCTGTGCTTATGCGTCGCTGTCTGATGGGGAAGCAGCCCAGCCCCTTCTCCACATCTTAGGCCATTTGTAGCACAGTACACCGCTTTTCAACCTGAAGGAGGCCCGTGTGCCCAGGTCATCGACGCCACACTTGTTCCTGTAGGCAGTGTGTCTGAATCCCAAGGGGAAAAAATTGTATAATCTTGGAACCATCGTATTTATATGCTGGCATAACAAACGCTCTCTGCGAAGGAGGTCTTGGTCCTTAGCAATTTTCCATCTAGGCTGCTCTCTCCCTCTCCCTATCCTTGCCTTCCATTCCTTCCACAAATATTTATCAAAATGCTTCTATGGGGACTTCCCTGGTGGTGCAGTGGTTGAGAATCCGCCTGCCAAGGTAGGGGACACGGGTTCAATCCCCGGTCCGGGAAGATCCCACATGCCGTGGAGCAACTAAGCCTGTGCGCCACAACAACTGAGCCTGCCCTCTAGAGCCCACGAGCCACAACTACTGAGCCTGCATGCCACAACTACTGAAGCCCGCATGCCTAGAGCCCGTGCTCCGCAACAAGAGAAGCCACGGCAATGAGAAGCCCGTGCACCACAATGAAGAGTAGCCCCCGCTCACCACAGCTAGAGAAAGCCCGCGCGCAGCAACGAAAACCCAACACAGCCAAAAATAAATAAAAATATATTAAAAAAACAAACCCAAAAAGCCTTCTATGGGTGAGATGTTGGGCCCCACGCCATAGGGCTCACAAAAACAATCAGAAGCTTCGGATGTGTCAGCAGAAGGAAGACGTGTTCAAAACGATCCCAAACCCAGGGTCTCAGGAAGGCCGGAGCTCATTGGGGATGACTTCCGGTGGGACGAGCCCATTCCGGTGGGATGGCAGTAGTGCCCCCTTTACTCTGAAAGCGGAAACTTTGTGTCGTGCCAGTCTCTCAGACTGCCCAGCCCGCAGTCTCCCTCCGCAAAGATGCAGGATTCAAGAATCCAGCGCTGGGACTTCCCTGGCGGTCCAGTGGTTAGGACTCCGTGCTTCCACTGCAGGGGGCACGGGTTCCAGTTTTGGTCGGGGAGCTAAGAGCCCACAAGCCATGCGGCGCCCTCCCCCCTCCCCCCACTCCCAGGAGAGCGATCCTGGTTACACTCAATCCTTCTTCCTGCCTTTCACTCTTAGCCAGAACCTTATTTTTTTTAAGTTAATTAATTAAATAATTTATTTTTGGCTGCGTTGGGTCTTCGTTGCTGCGCGCGGGCTTTCTCTAGTTGCGGTGAGTGGGCTTCTCATTGCTGTGGCTTCTCTTTGTTGCAGAGCACAGGCTCCAGGTGCACGGGCTCAGTAGTTGTGGCCCACAGGCTCTAGAGTGTAAGCTCTGTAGTTGTGGCGCAGGGCTTAGTTGCTCCGTGGCATGTGGGATCTTCCCGGACCAGGGCTTCAACCCGTGTCCCCTGCATTGGCAGGCGGATTCTGAATCGCTGTGCCACCAGGGAAGTCCCTGTACACAATTCTTAACATACATACCAAAAATCTAAAAAATCATGCAGTTGTGATTCTTTTCTGAACAGTTAGTTATTCCAGTGACTTTCCAGCTTAAAATTTGGAGGCAAATTTTCCTTAACAGGACAGCAAGTACCAATATCTTCAAATATTGATATGCTGTTTCTTCAAATATTGATATGCCGTTCCGTCATAAGTCCCACTAATTCACAATTTAATATCATATACTGTACATACTCAAATTGTCCATCGTTCACAGCACATTAACAAAGTTACTAGAACTGTACGACCACGACCAAAGATGTTACTTACAGAGCACACAAAATTTGACCAGGAGAGCCAAGATCAAGGAGTGAGTGGTTTGCTTTAGGAAAAATTCTACCCAAAACAACATGGGAAGAGAAGTAATTTAAAGTGTTGGGGGTCGGGGTGGGTGGAATGAACTGGGAGACTGGGATTGACATATACACACTATTGATACTATGTATAAAATAGATAACTAATGAGAACCTACTGTGTAGCACAGGGAACTCTACTCAGTGCTCTGTGGTGACCGAAATTAGAAGGAAATCCAAAAAAGAGGGGAGGTATGAATATGTATAACTGATTCACCTTGCTGTACAGTACAGACTAACACAATATCGTAAAGCAACTACACTCCAACAAAAATTAAAAAGAAAAACGTGTTCAAGACATTAAATGCACAGCTGACTCCAAACTACCATTTAGTACGCTTTGTATTATAGGATAGAAAGGCTACCCCCCATCTGTGGAATGTTAAGCTCACACCCAAGACAATCAGAGCCTCCCACATTCAATATCCTACTATGTTCTGGTTGTACCAGAAAATGAACAACCAGCAAATGATTTCACCACTTAAAAAAAAATTTTTTTTTTACACTTAAAAAAATGGGATGGGGTGGATTCCCCCCTTTTAAAAAATGTTTCTAGAGCTCCTAAAAAACTGGCATTTACAAAACAGTTGATAAAAATATTCCTGTGGATTGTGCAAGAAGAGAGACAGGGACCACTGATAGGACCAGGTGTGTGATATTAATGTGACTTGGCTTCTTTCTCTCCTGCTTCATCAAAGGCTGGGCTGTCCTCGTTTTCAGTTTCTCCATTTTCTGCAGGTACATCTTCTTTAGTCTCTTGGTTAGCGGCTTCAGCCTGTTTTTCCTTTGCTCGCCTTTTCCCTTGTGTTTGCACTTTTTTGTCTGAAGATTCATTCTTTCCTGCCGGCTTTTGGGGCTGCGTTTCCACTTTTGCAGGAGCCGGTTTAGCTAGCAACCTCGCCGATATCCTCTTGGGCTCCTCCTTCGCCGCCCCCTCGGTGGAGCCAGGTTTCCTCTCGGGCACCGTGGCGGCGGTGAAGCTGCCACTTCCCGCCACGCTGCTACATAGTGCGGCTGCCGGGCGGCGCGGCGGAGAGTGCCGGCGGGGACAAGAGCTGCGGTGGCCGAGGGGCCAGAGCCTTATTTTTGAGCATCTTCAGTTTCTTCCTCTCCACAGACTGTTTCTTCCAATGAAATGGTATAATATCGTGGAAAGGGCGCTTGAACTGGAGTTAAAAAAAAAAACTGGTCTCAGGGCTTCCCTGGTGGCACAGTGGTTGAGAGTCTACCTGCCGATGCAGGGGACACGGGTTCGTGCCCTGGTCCGGGAAGATCCTACATGCCGCGGAGCGGCTGGGCCCGTGAGCCATGGCCGCTGAGCCTGCGCGTCCGGAGCCTGTGCTCCGCAACGGGAGAGGCCACAACAGTGAGAGGCCCGCGTACCGCAAAAGAAAAAAAAACAACTGGTCTCAGAGTTATGAAAACGTTGTAACACAGTATCTGACATCTGGAAAATGCTTGATCAATATGAGCCATCATTTCTGTGCAGGTGCTAGTTGTGATGATGTAATAAGAGCAGTAGTCATAGTAACAGCGAGCACGCTTTAGCGCGTAACGGGTGCCTGTGAGGTTGTCAATGCTGTTGCCATCTTACAGATGGGGAACCTGAGGCTGCGAAGTTATAGAGCCAGGCTCAAAGCTAGTCCGACTGACCCTGAAGCCTGTGCCCTCGACCTCTTGCCTTACTGCATCTTGGGACTTGTGTGCCACTTGGGACCTCTGACTCTTCCATTATAAGAGGGAGGAAGGATAGCAATCCTGAGTGCCAGACTCTGGTGAGGAAGGAAAGAGCAGTGTGTGTGAAGCACCTCCTCACAGGACCAGGGAACCCGATGCCTGTTCGTGTTCTCACACGCTTCTATGAGACCACCTGCTGCGTCCTGTGTCCACTCACCGCCATGCCTGGTGGCCAGATCCCCAGAAGGTGCAATCTGTGCCTGCCACCCACAACCCTCTCCTCGCATACGGGATCCTTTGCCCGCCTCTCTCTGCTCCTCAGCCCCACGGATGGAACCATCTCTGTGGGAGCAGCTTATTGGAGAGCAAAGTGGGATTTGCCCACAGGAGATGCGAGTTCAAATTGTAGTCACATCCTGCACTGTTTCTGGTCCAGGACAAGTCACCTGACCTCTCTGAGAGTCACTGTCCCCATCTGCAGAATAGGGAGAATCGTAATTCCCACCTTGTAGGCCTGTGCGGTAAGGCCAGAGGGAGGCGTCAGAGCTGAGGGTGCAATGCATTCTGGACAGCGCTCTTACCCAGTGGCCTCTCTGCGTCCCCAGAGATGCTCTAACTGCGCCTGGCTTTCCCTGGGCATCGTCTTAGCACACGCTGGGAGCCCTTGAGGTTAACCCCGACTGACTTAAAGCCTCCCCTCCTGGTTTCCCAGGCTGAGCATCGTCTTCCTGACCACTCCCTCCTCCTGGGACCCACCCAGCCACCTGAAACTCACTGTGCTCTATTATTTCTTTCCTACAAAATGTCCTAAAAGATTATAAGGCCTTACTCCCCCTCCCCTCGCCGGCCTTTTTGCATCATCCTCAAACTCCCCTCCCCACCTTCCTTCGGGCTGTTTCAGCGCCTTCTGGCTGAGCTCTCGCCTCCGATCCCACCACACCCCAATTCTGCAGTGAATGGGTCCTCCCCAAACCCGGCTCTTGTCCCATTGCGGCTCTGCTCAAGAATCTTCAGTAGCTCCCCACTGTGTGACGTCTCAACTTGGCCCAGCTCTGAGGATCTCCATACCATGGCTTCATCTTAGTTACCCACTTAACTCCCATTACTTAAGAAAGCAATCTTGCCAAACTTTGGAAGCATCGAGATATCTTAAATAGGTGAGTGAATAAGCTGTGGCATGCCCAGACAATGGAATACTATTCAGCACTAAAAAGACATGCGCTATGAAGCCGTGAAAAGACATGGAGGAGCCTTAAATGCATGTTACTGTGTGAAAGAAGCCAATCCGAAAAGGCTGTAGACTGTATGATTCCAGCCCTGTGACATTCTGGAAAAGGCAGAACTATGGAGAGAATAAAAAGATCAGTGGATGCCAGTGATTAGGGGCAGGGAGAGATGAATGGGTGGAGCACAGAGGATTTTTAGGGCGGTGAAAATACTCTGTGTGATCCTGTGATGGTGGATACATACCCTTATAGATTTGTCCAGATCCACAGAATGTGCAACACCGAGAATGAGCCCCAGTGTAGACTGTTGACTGCGGGTGATGATGGCGTGTCAATGTAGATTCATCAGATGTGATGAACGGACCACTCTGGTGGGGATGTTGACAGTGCGGGGAGGCTGTGTGTGTGTGGGGACAGGGACGGGGGTATATGGGAACTCTCTCTACCTTCCTCTCAATTTTGCTGTGAACCTACAACTGCTCTAAAATATAAAGTCTTAAAAAAGTCTAAGGGACACAACTTAATTGTAGAAATATTAGAGATACAAATGAAAAACGATCGACAGTTGTACCACCCGGAGATAACCACTGTTTAACATTTTGCTGAATGGTCCCTCAGAACCTGTAGATGCGTGTGTGTAGCCATATCAACGTGTATTTATTTTAAACAAAGACAGAATGTGATGCTGCCTCGGCGTGGGGACCTCCCTTTCCTCTCAGTTGTGTGCGGTGGGCATCGAGGGGGCAGCCGCCCAGTGAGTGGACGCCTCTAGTTCACTCAGCTGACCTCTTCCCACTGGCATTTAGGTTGCTCTTTCTGTTTACTCTCCTTTCGGTGTTATTCTTATCCCCAACATTTTGCTTTAAGTTTTGTTAATCTTTTTATATCCCTCTCTGCAGGTTTTCTTTTTTTTCTTTTTAAAGAATCCATGCTAACCTTTATTTTATTTATTTATTTATGGCTGCGTTGGGTCTTTGTTGCTGCACGCGGGCTTTCTCTAGTTGCGGCGAGCGGGGGCTACTCTTCGTTGCGGTGCGCGGGCTTCTCATTGTGGTGGCTTCTCGTTGCGGAGTGCGGTCTTCAGTAGTTGTGGCTCGCGGGCTCTAGAGCGTAGCCTCCGTAGTTGTGGCGTACGGGCTTAGTTGCTCCGCGGCATGTGGGATCTTCCCGGACCAGGGCTCGAACCCGTGTCCCCTGCATTGGCAGGCGGATTTTTAACCACTGTGCCACCAGGGAAGTCCCTCTGCAGGTTTTCTAATCTGCTAGTTTGGAAGATATAGATTGCATTCCTATTATTTTAGCAGGTACCCTTAACTTTCCCTTATTATTGTGTTAATGTTTCACAGAAAAGTGCATAAAATATAAATGTGTCGCTGACGCGTCCCTGGGAAGTATCCCCTCCCATCAGGCCCTCCGTCCCTGGAGCAGCCACTGCCCCGGTGGTCATCTGATCCCTACTTTGCCTTCTGCTCCCCTGGCCTGTGTATGCATCCCTAAATGTTCCATTTTCATTTATTTCCAAATTGATACCAGTGGAACCATATCATATGCATTTTTTTGGAGGGAGGGGTGGGAATGGCTCCTTTCACTCAACACTCTATTAAAGATTCATCCGTGTCGTGTGTAGCCCTAGGCGATTGGTCTTCATTGCTGTATACTATTCCTTTGCATGAATATACCACAGTTTATCCATTCTAATGCTGATGGACATGTTTTCCCTTATGCTTTGGGAATTACTATATATACATATACATATGTATATATACACATACATACACACAGACACATATATATGTGTATATATATTTTTTCACATGTATTCTGGTATTTGCATTTCTATCGGGCATGTACTAGATGTGGAATTATAGGTCATAGGGTGTACGTAGTTGTACCTCATTATGGTTTTAATTTGTATTTATCTGATTACCAGCGAGGTTGAGCCTGCTTTTGTGTGTTTATTGGCCTCTGGATTTCTTGTAAAAAGTGTCCTCCAGATTTCCAGTTATGGTGTCTGTCATTTCCTTGTTGCTTTGTAGGAGATCTTTATATATCCTGAACCAGTTGTTTGGTACATGTATTATAAATATCTTCTCTCATCTGTGGATTTTTTTTTTTTTTTTTTTTTTTTGCGGTACGCGGGCCTCTCACTGTTGTGGCCTCTCCCGTTGCGGAGCACAGGCTCCGGACGCGCAGGCTCAGCGGCCATGGCTCACGGGCCCAGCCGCTCCGCGGCAATGTGGCATCCTCCCGGACCGGGGCACGAACCCGTGTCCCCTGCGTCAGCAGGCGGACTCTCAACCACTACGCCACCAGGGAAGCCCTCATCTGTGTATTTTTTAATGGCATTTTTTTGGGATAAATTATAGTAGAGTTGAATTTATTAATCTTTCCCTTTATGGTTAATGACTTGTTTTTGTCTTAAGGAAGGTTTCCCTATTCCAAGTTCGTGAAGAGAGATTTCTACCCTAATTCTAAAGACTTTGTATTATTGCCTTCACATGCAGGCCTATAATTCACACAGAATTGAGTTTTTTGTATATGGTGTGAGGTAGGGGTCCAGTTTCATTTTTTTTCCCATATGGATGCCCAGTTATCCCAGCATGCTTATTAAAATGGAACACAATAGAATAATATCTTCAAAGAGATGAGCGAAAGTAACTGTCAAGCTAGAATCTAAACCAGGCTAAACCATCCCTCAAGAGGAACTGCGACACAAAGACATTTCGGATGAAGACGGAGAGAGGTTTACCACTTGTGACCTGAACTGAAAGACCTTTTAAGGGCTGTAGGCAGGAATGGAGTAACCGCATGCAAGTGGAAGATCTACCCACATCTCCGCCAGGTTCTGCAGGCTGAACCGTCACATTTTTCTGAGGTCATGCGAAGTGTTCAAACAGAGCCCACTGGACAGGCCATGAGTGTGCTGGGGTTTGGTCTGATCGACCCTGCAAGTTATTTTCACCCCATGGCTGGGCAGATGGCTGCTGGCCTAGGCCCAGAGCCCTTGCTGAAGTGAGGTTTTCTTCACCTTCACAGATAAAGGAAACCAAGGGGCATCTGCCTGTTCATGTCCTCCCTAAGTGGAAGGGAGATGCTGTTACAAGAAATAACTTTTTCAGCAAATCCAGTGTATTTTTTTAACCTCTCATTTTTTTCCCCCTGCAATTGTGACATGTCTACATGAAATTGGC